GACCCTATAAGAACCCCATTCGTGACCCTATAAGGGCCCCATTTAGGATCCCATTCCTGACCCTATAACGACCCCATTTGTGACCCCATTCCTGACCCTATAAGAACCCCATCTGTGACCCTATAAGGACCCCATTTGTGACCCTATAAGGACCCCATTTAGGACCCCATTTGTGACCCTATAAGGACCCCATTTAGGACCCCATTCCTGACCCTATAAGGACCCATTTGTGACCCTATAAGGACCCCATTCCTGACCCTATAAGGACCCCATACCGGACCCCATTTCTGACCCTATAAGAACCCCATTCCTGACCCTATAAAGACCCCATTTACGACCCCATTCCTGACCCTATAAGGACCCCATTTAGGACCCAATTCCTGACCCTATAAGGACCCCATTTAGGACCCCATTCCTGACCCTATAAGGACCCCATTTGTGACCCCATTCCTGACCCTATAAGGACCCCATTTGTGACCCCATTCCTGACCCTATAAGGACCCAATTTCTGACCCCATTCCTGACCCTAAAAGGACCCCATTTCTGACCCCATTCCTGACCCTAAAAGGACCCCATTTAGGACCCCATTCCTGACCCTATAAGGACCCCATTTAGGACCCAGTTTCTGACCCTATAAGGACCCCATTTAGGACCCAGTTTCTGACCCTATAAGGACCCCATTTGTGACCCCATTCCTGACCCCATTCCTGACCCTATAAAGACCCAATTCCTGACCCTAGAAGGACCCGATTTGGGACCCTATAAGGACCCCGATTCCAGCCCCACTTCAGACCCCATATGGCAGCCATTTGGGATCCCGTTTCCACCCCATTCTTCCGACCCTATAAAGACCCCGTTCCCGACCCTATAAGGACCCCGTTACCTGAAGGGCTCCCTGTTGTCATTGGGTTTAATGCAGCGCACGTAGTGGGGGGTGGTGGCATTTAGGGTTTCCATCAGGAGCCGCAGGGAACCCCGAAACTTTTGGGGCCGGGGGAGAAAAAACCCCATAAAGATCCCATAATGATCCCATAAAGATCCCATAAAGATATAGGGGGCTCCGCTGGAGGACCAACGTTGGAGGACCTCCTTTGGAGGACCTCCTTTGGAGGACCAACGTTGGAGGACCAACATTGGAGGACTTCCATTGGAGGACCAACGTTGGAGGACCAATGTTGGAGGACCTCCTTTGGAGGACTTCCATTGGAGGACCAACATTGGAGCACCAATGCTGGAGGACTTCCATTGGAAGACCTCCTTTGGAGGACCAACATTGGAGGACTTCCATTGGAGGACCAACATTGGAGGACTTCCATTGGAAGACTAACGTTGGAGGACCTCCTTTGGAGGACCAACGTTGGAGAACCAATGTTGGAGGACTTCCATTGGAGGACCAACATTGGAGGACTTCCATTGGAAGACCAACGTTGGAGGACCTCCTTTGGAGGACCAACGTTGGAGGACCAACGTTGGAGGACTTCCATTGGAGGACCAACATTGGAGGACTTCCATTGGAAGACCAACGTAGGAGGACTTCCATTGGAGGACCAACATTGGAGGACTTCCATTGGAAGACCAACGTTGGAGGACCAACATTGGAGGACCAATGTTGGAGGACTTCCGTTGGAGGACCAATGTTGGAGGACCAACGTTGGAGGACCAACGTTGGAGGACCAACGTTGGAGGACGAACATTGGAGGACCAACGTTGGAGGACCAATGTTGGAGGACCAACGTTGGAGGACCCCCTTTGGAGGACTTCCATTGGAGGACCAACGTTGGAGCACCAATGCTGGAGGACTTCCATTGGAAGACCTCCTTTGGAGGACCAACGTTGGAGGACTTCCATTGGAGGACCAACATTGGAGGACTTCCATTGGAGGACCAACGTTGGAGGACCAATGTTGGACGACCAACGTTGGAGGACCTCCTTTGGAGGACCAACATTGGAGGACCTCCAAACTGCCCCCCATAACCCCATAACTGCCCCCCATAACCCCATAACTACCCCCCAAACCCCATAACTGCCCCCATAATCCCATAATTACCCCCCA